ATAGAATAGAATAGAATAGAATAGAATAGAATAGAATAATAACAAAGGTTTGTGTCTCAGACAGAGTCCAAGCCAGCTGACTGTGATTGGCCATTAATTAGAAACAACCCATGAGACCAATCCCAGATGCACCTGGTGCATTCCACAGCAGCAGATAACCATTGTTTGCATTTTGTTTCTGGGGCCTCAGCTTCCCAGAAGGGAAAATCCTAAAGAAAGGATTTTAATGAAAAGATATCTGCGACACCTCAGCTGAGCAGTGAAACTGCTCCTCTCTGTGAAATGAGGGCTCACAGCCTTTGAATTTCCCTCCCCTGCCAGGATAAAGTCTCTCAGTCCCCAGAGCCCCCATGGCCTTTCTCCCTGGGAGGAAGCTCAGCCACTGCCCTGAGCACTGTATTTCACATGAGCTGTAGCTCTATTAATACAAAGATAAACAGAATTGAAATTCAGCCTGACCTTGTGTGGCAGCTGTGACAAAGCCCGGCGTGTTTGAAGTCTGGATACAATTATTTGGAATTGCTAAACACCACGCTTCAATCATGACCTTTAGCTGGCACCGGGGCCAGAGGAGGGCCCTGATTTTAACTTCTGAACTGCAAATCACCCCCTTGGAAAGAGACTTCAGAAGCCATTATAATCACAGGGAACGTTTGAAAGGGTGTGGAAGCTATAAGCAAAATATTTATTTCACACACTTGTCTGCATTTAAGCCATAAATCTGTCTACTATGAGAGTGTTTTAGTGGTGTAGAGAAGACAAGTAAGCTGAGATCATAGCAGACATGTCCTATAAGGCTTTACTGAAAATCATTGCTTTTTAATCCCTTTATCCCTGTTATTTCCTACCACTGTGAAGATCCAGCAGCAGGGAAAGCTGGCACAGTGTAGGACAGATGCATAATGTGTAGTGCTAAGCAGGCAAAAATCCCTCTGTTTGTCTAATGCTCCAAACACATTAGAAATGTCAATGTTACTGCTGGGTGTCCTACATAAACACAAACAAATTATCAATACTCAGCTGAGTCTTGCAAACCTGGTTGGATGGGGTGGTTTGATACCAATGAATAATTTTTAATTAGTCAGAGGAAAATGGTAGGGGGGTGGAATGAGATGATCTGAGAGGTCCAACCCAACCCATTCTCCATGAAAATTAAAATCACCCAGAAAAGTTGACCAGGATTGTTTCTGTGAAGAGCAGGTACCACGTGAGTGCTGTAAAACTGAATGGTGTACTCAGCTGCACAACACCTGATCTCATCTTTGCTGTGCTGTTTTCCTGGCCTTGTTTTTCCCCTGCACAAACCCTGAGAAGCTGCTTGGACAGGAGGATGGAGCCAGAACGTCCCCAGAGCACCTGGAGGTGTTCAGGTGCATGATTGCTTCCCTGAGCTCCACATTGCAGCCTCCCCCTGTCCAGAGCACAGATCAATCAGCTGAGCTGCATCCTGTGTGCCCTGAGGGTGCCAGGGCAGGCACTGGGGGAGGCTGATGGTACCCAGGGCTGGGGATGGAGGGAGGGAAGAGCTCAGGGAGCTCCTGGAGTGGT